CCATGAGTAGAGATTGTCGCGAAAAAAAAAACAAAAAACAAGCCAAGCGAAGACAAGACGCGCACGATCTATGAAAGGGGCGGTGGCCCTGATCGCTCCCTAGCCCCCTCACGTTTTTGGCATCACTTTGTTCTGCACAACGGCACTATTAGGGAGCTTAGCAACAACGAAGGCGACGGCAACGGGGACGGCAACAAAGCAATGAGTTTAGATTGGCACATTTCTTTGCTGTCACCTGCAAGACTACGATATGAACCTTTTCCAATTTCGCGTCAGTTTAGTGGAGGACGTAAGCATGAGGCAACTGATTTCTTTTTTCTTCTTGTGAACTTATAATCAGCCCTTTAGCGTTTAATTCCTAAAAAAATTACCAAAATATCATTACAGTCACTAGGGCAAATTAAAAGGGTTTGAGTGAGGCGATGTAGTTTGCAAAAGTGCCTTTTTCGCTGCCATCGCCTTCATCTTTGCCTATTGGAGCCTGGAACAGCCTACCGGCTTAGGCCTCTTTGTGTTGTAGGGAGGTGGGGGAGAAAGAAAAAGAGAGAGCGCGGGGTACGATGGGAAGGGAAAAGAGAAAAGTATCCCAATAAAAATAGCAAAAATCGAAAAATGGAAAGCGCACGGCGGACGATGGGAAGAGGGAAAAGGCTGGAGCATCTCTTCTCTCTTTCCTCTTCCCATCCCGCCCCTTTTTTCCTTTCTTCAGCCTCTGTTTTAAGTTTTAGTATCGACGACAGCGACGACAGCAAAAACGTCACTTTTAAACCGAATTCGCGTTTTTTCAAACTTTTTCAAGCTTAATCCAATTCGCTGAAAATGTCAAATTTCCCTGGAGTTGATTTCTTAGGGACCACACTCAAGTTTTGAAAGAGAAAAAAAAATTCCTTGTCGCTTGTTTACGTCCTCCATAAAAGGTGAAATTAGGCATTTTCACGCCGTAGTCGTGCAGTGACGTCAAAGAAATGTACAAAAAAGTGTACTGCACGTGCAAAGTTGTTGTTTTCATAGATCGTGCGCGTCTTGTTTTTGCTTGTTTGTTTTCTCGCTACGTCGCCTTCGTTTTTGCTTAAGCTCCCTTTACATGAGAGGCCTCTACGAAGGAGAATTGGCTACCAACGAAATTATGTACCACATATGAGAGCCAAGAGGTAAGGTGTCCCTGCTGCCGGTTGATGGATATCAAATGTAAATGTAAATATCATATTATCCACTCCACTCAGGGCTTTTCAGGGATAATTTACAACACTGGTTGGCGGACTTTGCCAGACTGCTTAAGGTGCAGTTTACAAGTAATGAAGAAATGAGTAATGATGACCCCATACATGAATGTGAAAGTGAGATAGACCACTACACCTGGCACTCTGTGCCCTACTCTTTCGCAAAGAATTCAGCCGGGTAAAGCAGCGCATATGTGATGTGGTTCGGGTGAATTTTCTCCCTGATTTGAACTCTGTTTCTCTTTTAGTTTGTTTTTGGTATAGAAATTAATGTTTAAAACAGACGAAGATAAAATGTACAAAATAACACTAATCATATATGCCTAACAAACCTATTTAAATATGTCTACGAAAAATGACATTTAGTTCGATATTTACCTCGCGCATGGGTCACGCGGAGAAAGTCAAACCGCTGGACAAATTAAACGTCGACAGGCTTCCACACATTCGTTGAGTTCATCTGTCATACAGTCGACAAAACAACTATCTTCGCAGCTAATGGTATTTTTCGTGTTTGCCTCGCCTTGCGGAAGGGGTCCATCTGAGTTGAGATACACGAATCAGAACACATAATTAGTATTCACAAACTAATGGGCACCCTTTAATTCAGGTGGGGGATTCACTTGCCAGGCCTACACAATTCCGCGGTAGTTGTACTGGATAGCGCAGTGAACACAGATTTCGGGATAAAATGTCTGTGCCGGCGGCATGCGAAAGTGCAACTCTTTGTACTGAGCATAAATAATTCACACAGTAGAGACCACCACTGCCGGCAAGCAGACAGATCACTTAGCTTTTTGAAAGTATTTGTCTAGAATGTACTAAATTTAACCAAACTATATCTATTTTTTGTTGCGTTCAGTGTTATCCATGCATGCATTCTGTACAACTGTTATAATTATTTTGTTTTAATGAAAAATTCTTACGGGAAAAAAAAGGCTCCTTTATATATATATCCATGATCTGCATGACAAAACATTGAATACGCGTAAGGGGCAATAGACGTCAAAAACGTAACATGAAAAGCACTCATAAAACTTGCAGGATAAACGGTCGATCGGTGTCAGTACGCGGACTAAATAAAATGCAAAAAATTTCCTTCATTTATTCATTTTTTACGGATTGCATATTTAAGCAGTTTTTGTTAAAGAAATGGGTTAAATTTTCAAGGAAGTCTCTTCATTTTCGAGCAAAGCCTGATTAATAATTTTTTAGTCCTGAGCGAGTTAAGAGATTTCAACGGATTTAAGACTAACTCGTAATGAATCTTTGGACTTAGCTTTCACAAATATTTTGCAACGCAAAAGTACCCACTGAAAATTTCTTACCTTGAATGAGCTCTTGATGGGAATTTTGAAGAAGTGTACAAATTAAAGCAAGGGACAGTAGTAATACTTCCAGTGTAGGTTTTAGGAGCATTTTAAGGAGTAAATGAGCTGTTTTTGACAGTCAGGTTTCCCAGTTTTCAATTGCTTTTACACTAATAAAACGTAATGTATTTGTTTCGGTGACAACTGGGCAGGTAATGCCAATGGGATACGCGTGGTTGCTAAGGAGACCCACGGGCTTTTTTACGGAGTTAATGTTAGCCGCTTAGATTATTCATATATCATGGCAGGTTTTTTTTTCCTGATCTAGCACGCAATATTAAAGCATGAGAACCCCGAAATTCAGCTCTGTTGCTACGGTAGTATCTGCTTCGTCGATTTAAACCTCGTGAAAAAGATTTTGTCAGTTCGATTTACTTAGAGCTGATTAGTGTTTTAAGAGGAAGCTAATTTTAATTAGCAATACTTTGGGAGTAAAATACAGGTTTCAGGAAAAATGATATTATTGGGGGCGACAAGAGGAGCCCGCAAGCCTAATCTCCAGGCTGTTATTACGCATGCGTCCCATGTATGCACGTGACTCCGATGATCACTTTATACGGTTCTCCCGTCTCCAGAAGGAGGCGTTAAACTCTCGCGCTAAATACATTGACACTCAAGTAAAGTGCATTTTTTGAAGATTTGAATTTTAGTTTATTTAGGCGTTGTTTTGGTTCACGGCAGCCTGTTCCTTAACTAGGAACCGACCATCATGATAACAGTAATTGGGTCAGCAGAATTTACAGTCTTCAACGTCGACTTTTTTTCTAATATATTTTTCAAACGGATGTTCTTGTCAACACTTATTGTCACAACTTCTTCCTCTCGTGAATTAACAAAACTATTTTATCTTATATTGGTTGCTTTTTACAACATGAGTAAGGGTATTCGGCTGAAAGCGTGTATAGTGCTTGGTATTTTAGGTCGCGTGCTCTGTAAAGGTGAGTTACATGTTGTGTAGGAATTCCTGTCTCAATCAGCGACTTGTTATCGTAGAAAAAGCTTCGTTTTAATTTCCTCAATTCATACAGCCTGCCGCATCGTTCTTTTCAATTCTGCCGACTTCTAATGAATTTTGAGCACAGAGAGTTTCAACTGAAACAACACAAAGATTCTTTGTCTCTTTCGCGGAGATCTCTCAGATGATTTAATAGAAAGAATAGAGCTTTCAGCGTTGCTAGTTGCTTAAAGGAATCACTAAAAAGGAACTTCAGCGTCAATATCAGATATTACGTTAAACTTATCAGTCATCCAGTTTTTACCGGCCTTCGAAATATTTGAGTTTCATCTGTAAGGGAAACAATCTTTCATATTAAATAAGTAAATAGTATAAAGCTCCTGGCCTATTTGATTCGCTTATTTTGACGAAACTGCCATCATTATATGCCTTTATCAGTCAAGAATTGAACTAGATACCATGCATGTTCGTCTTTGCTCATTTCACCGAGTACTCTATACATCTTATCCCAAGGTTCGTTAAGGTATAAATGACGATTTTCGTCATACTCGAAGTATCAATAGGATTTCGCGCACTAAAAGGTTCATTGTTTACTTCTTCTTGTTTATCTTAGTGATTCTGGATAGATCTGTGAATCGCGCAGTGAAAATAATAGCTGTTTTAATAGATGAATTGTTTCTTCCTTGGTGATGAAAAAGAAATTCACAGCCATACACTGTAAGTGATCCATGCAGAACAAACATAAAAAAAAATTTATATTGCTTTCTATACTGCATGCTTTTTTGAAATTCAAGGATCGATCATAGTATTAAAGTAATGCTTGTCCATCCCAACGACCCCAGAAATCATTGCGCTGGTTAAAACTTGTACCCATTCCCCCAGGAGCTCCTCTGCATACCCCCTATAGTCTGGAGTGCAGGAAATTCAGCAAGTTTGATTGCGTCAGACGGTCCGAAGTCGGTCACTCACACCTGGGACCCGTTTCTCGAAAGTCCCGGTAACTTTTCATCTCGGGTCCAAAATCAAATGTTCAAATCAAAATCTTAAGAATAAAAGCGACAAACCTGTCCAGTTTGTTTCATCAACTAATCTACTTTTCATGTTATCTGCAAAACTTCTAAGACTTGGATTTTCAGTCAAACAGCAACAGCTTTACGGGCCCTTAATTATCGGGACTTTCTCAAGAATCGGGCCCATGGACCGAATAACTGGCCCAGACCGGCCTGCTTAACAGGCTCGTTCATCTGGTTAAAGTCTGGCAAAATGATATGATGATTTATGTTCTCTGCAAATTTTTGCGGTTCTGACTGCAGCTAACCCTGATGTAGACGAATGCAAAGAATACAGTGAGTTAAATGACCCTGACCGTCTATAACTAACTACGATGCCTACGATAAAAGATGCGACGGCAAATTAGAGATTGGTTGGTACAGATTCACAGGAAAAGCCGGGCAGATGATGCCAACCACATGCGTCGCCAAATTTCACTGTGGTGCTTACGGCCCAGGTTGGCTGAACGGCGACCATCCAATGCCCCAGGATGGGAGGGTAAAAAGGAGAGTGTGTTTTCACCTAGAGGGGGAATGTTGCAAGGAGAAGATCAGTATTCAAGTGAGGAATTGCGGGAAATTTATGGTGTACTTTTTGCCACCTGCGCCAAGATGTCCTTTGAAATATTGTGGAAGTAAAGTTGAGGATGGTAAGTTTGGTAGATTTTTCACTCGATCGTTTGTCTGAAAAACCTGTGTAGAGATGTTTTACTGGGGTCTCATGAGAGGAACTGTGGACACAAGCGGGTTACCTGCGAGCCAGGCGTGGATAGGGAGAGGAGTAGAGGCAGCTTTCTGTCCGGCTTTCCCCGCCCAGTCTTTCGCAGCTTCCTCGCCCGTGCTTGTGATTTCCAAATGGGGATTTATCCCGACATTCCCAAATATTGAGATCATACGTAAATAATTACTAAAGAACGGTTTTCACTAGCGCAGAACCATAAGTATAAGGGCATACGCACGCGCAGAATGGCATATTTGAGCCTCCAAGGTTCTGAAAAATGACCATATTTTGAGGACCTTCAACCAAACCAACGTTTGAGCATTTGCACGGCATTACACATAATACACTATTGTCGTCATTTTATTGGATAGCGCAAACGTCTTCCAACTTTGGTCAACACTATCTGGATGTGAAGAATTGGCTGGGGGATCAGGGCCAATCAGAAAAGGAGAATATTTTGGATAAATAATAATGATGTTTATTGAGACGGGCTGTTTGGTGACTCTAATCTTACTCGATAATTTTGTTACAGTTCCCCGTGAATGCAAAAGCTACGGCGTTTTAAATGAAACCGACAGAGCGCGAGGATTTTATAATCCGTTCCTGTCCCTCACCGACGCAGGACTTACTCCTGGATGGCACAGATTCATGGGAAAAGCGGGTATCAATTAATTTAACATTCTTGTCTGATCATCA